TAACAACACAAAAGGAGACTTCCCTCTCATTCCTACTCCCCAAAAGTGACCACTGCCAAGTATCTTGTATATCATTCCATACACTGTGTACCATTAGCAGCTTTTCACATCAGCACACACGGATCTAGCTCATCATTTCTCGTTGGCTGCATAATGTTCCATTGTGTGGCTGCCCTACTAAGTTCATCGCCATTGCAAAGAATACTGCAACAAATACTCCAGAGTTCTTTGCCTACTTATGCAAGTATAATCACAGGAAAAATTCCTTGCTGAGTAAGTGCACTTACATTTTTAAAAATAATAGCTTTATTGAAATATAATTCACATACCATAAAAGTCACCCTTTTATTTTCTTTTTTGAGACAGGGTCTCACTCTGTTACCCTAGGTGGAGTGTAGTGATGTCATCATAGCTCAGTGCAACCTCAAATTCCTGGACTCAGGTGATCCTCCTGCCTCAGTCTCCTAAGTAGCTGGGACTACAGACACATGACACCAGGTCTGGCTAATTTTTCTATTTTTTGTGGTGATGGGGGTTGGGGGGTGTCTCACTCTTGCCCAGGCGGTCTCAAACTCCTGGCCTCAAGCAATCCTCCCACCTCAGCCTCCCAAAGTGCTAGGATTATCAGCAGAAGCCACCTTGCCCAGCCAAAATTCACCCTTTTAAATTACTGCCTGATGCAGTAGTGCACACCTGTAATCCCAGCTACTTGGGAGGCTGAGGCAGGAGGATTGCTTGACTCCAGGAGTGCGAGTCCAGCCTGGGCACAACATAGAGACCCCCATCTCTAAAAAAAAAATGAAAATTAAAAAAAGGTATTTGAGTGATTTTTATTATATACAGAGTTGTGCAGCCATCACCACTAATTACAAGACATTTTCATCACCCCCCCCAAAAATCCCATACTCATTAGCAGTCACTGTCCGTTCTCTTTTCCCAGGCCCTTGTGATCACTAATCTACTTTCTATTCCTATGGATCTGATGATTCTGGACATTTCACATAAATGAAATTATAGAATATGTGGCCTTTTATGTCTGGCTTCTTTCACTTAGCATGATGTTTTCAGTTCATCCATGCTGATGCACATGCCAGTACTTTATTACTTTTGATGGCTGAATAATATTTCATTGTATGGATATATTATCTTTTGTTTATCCATTCATCAGTTGATGGACATTTGAACCGTTTCCACTTTTTGGCTATTATGAATAATGCTGCTATAGACATCCATGTGTAGATTTTTATGTGGACATATGCATTTATTTATTATTTTTTTTTTGAGACAGAGTCTCACTCTGTTGTTTGGGCTAGAGTGTCATGGCATCAGCCTAGCTCACAGCAACCTCAAACTCCTGGCCTCAAGCAATCCTCCTGCCTCAGCCTCCCGAGTAGCTGGGACTATAGGTGCACTCTGTCTGGCTACTTTTTTCTATTTTTAGTAGAGACAGGGTCTTACTCTTGCTCAGGCTGGTCTCGAACTCCTGAGCTCAAGCAATCCTCCTGCCTCAGCCTCCCAGAATGCTACGATTACAGGCTTGAGCCACTGAATCCAGCTGACATATGCTTTTAATTTTCTTGGGTGAACACCTAGGAGTGGAATTGCTGGGTCATTTGGTAACTCTATATTTAACATTTTGAGGAATTGCCAAATTGTTTATCAAAGTGGCTCTACCACTTTTACAATCCTCCTGGCAATGTATGAGTTTAATTTCTCCACATCCTCCCCCAAATTTGTCATTGTTTGTGTTTTATTTTAGCCATCCTAGTGAAGGTGAAGTGCTCAGTACCTCATAGTGATTTTAATTTGCATTTCCCTAATGATCAGTGATGTTGAGCATCCTTTCATACTCTTACTGGCCATTTGTATATCTTCTTTGGGGAAATTTGTATTCAAATTCTTTGCCCATTTCTTGATTGTCTTTTTATTGTTGAGTTCTTTATATATTCTGGATGTAAGTCCTCTATGAGATACATGATTTACAAGTATTTTTTCCCATTCTGTGGGTTTTTATTTTTGTTTTTAAGACAGGGTCTTGCTCTGTCACCCAGGCTGGAGTGTAGTGGCATGATCATAACTTACTGCAGCCTTCAACTCCTGGGCTCAAGCGATCCTCTTGCCTCAGTCTCCCGAGTAGCTCGGACTACAAGTGCACACCACTGTGCCCAGATAATGTTTTTATTTTTTGTAGAGATGAGGGTCTCACTATATTGCTCAGGTTGGTCTCAAACTTCTTGCCTCAACTGATCCTCCTGCCTCAGCCTCCCAAAGTGCTGGGACTACAGGCATGAGCCACCGTGCTTGGCTTATCTTTTCATTTTCTTAAGTGAAGCACCAGTTTTTAATTTTGATGAAGTCCAATTTGTCTACTTTTTCTTTTGTCACTTGTGCTTTTCGAGTCCTATCTAAGGAACCATTGCCTAATCCAAAGTCAGGAAAATTTATATCTGATTTAAGAGTTTTATAGTTTTAGGTCTGTGATCCATTTCTAGTTAATTTTTGTATATGGTTTGGGGTAGGGGTCCAACTTCCTCCTTTTGTATGTGGATTTCCAGTCATCCCAGCACAATTTCTGGAAAAGACTACTTTCCCCATTGAATTGGCCTGGCACCTTGCACTTACATTTTTGATGTTGCCAAATTGTTCTCCAAAGAGGTCGCACTGGTGTGTACTCCCACCCATAGGAGCTACGCGGCTGTAGCTCAGATGGGGCATTAAAGGTTAGCAAGGACATTGATGAACCCAGGCTGTCAGGGACCGTCGCGAGGGTAAAGTGTGAGGTGGGCTTGAGAGTGGCCGAAGAGGGTGGGTTAAAGGAAGTGAAAATGTTTTTCTCGGAGAAGAGAAAAATGCAGGGGAGTATAAACTCTCTGAGTGGGATGTGCCTGAGTTTAAGGCCCTGTTCTGCCCCCTATCTGCTGAGCAGTCTTTGCGTAGTTGTCAAATCCAACCCTCCGAACTTTAGCTTCATAGTCTGTTAAACAAAGATGGTGACCGCTTACCTTTACAGGGTTATTGTGAGGAGTACATGTATGTCTATATCCCAGCCCAGGCCAGGCCTCAGTAACAGTAGCTATTGTGACATTTCTGTATGTGGTATATGTGGCTGAGATCACGTGATTGTGGGGGAGCATCACAGTGGGATAGTGTTGGAGCCATTCGGCGAGTGTGAGATTTTTAATGATGACTGATCACGTGGAGAAACTTGGATCTACTGGTAAGTGTCACTGTCACCCAGAGCAAGGCAGTACTTGAAGTCTTTGCTGTGACATGTTAAGGGGGGGAGAGACTGTGACTGAGATTGGATGTGACAGCAAGACAGATCCTGAGTGACAGAACGGAACGGAGCAGAGGGAGGCAGGCTGCGCCGGGCACATGTGGGTACCCAGATGTCAGGGCAGGTGTCTGTCTGAACTGTCCCCTCCCCCACAGACTTCCCTCCCTGCTTTCTAAAAGCAGGGAGGAAAAGAGGAGGGCTTTCCCCAGGGAAAGGGGATTTTGATCAGAGTGTAGAACCTACAGTACCTAAGGGGCTGTGGCTCAAGCACCTTTGGTATCGGCACCCAAGACCCAGGAAAAGAACCTGCTGGAAATGTGTGCAAAATGGGTGGGGTGGAACTTGGACTGGTTTCTCCTCTCAGCTTTAGTCTTCAGAGTGGACGATAAAAACAGAACCGAAACCTAAGCATTCCTTCCTCCTCTTGTCCCCTGGGGGAAGGAAGAGAGGAATAAATGCCACATCTCATTAAGCTTTTACGAGCTCAGACAAGCAGAGTGGGCCCACACCGGCGGCGGCAGGCAGAGGGCTGGGGGAGGCTGCACGAAAGATTCCCCAGCTCTCTCAGGGAAGATGTGTTCCAGAACTTGCAGGCCTGCTCTGAAAGAAATAAGGAGTTAAAAACAGATGTGGGAATAACAGCTTTTATTAAAATGAAATCAGAAGGGCAATAGGACAGGAAGCTGGGTAGATGTGGGGACAACGGAGAGACCGTGGCAGCGGCAGGACTGCAATCTGTGGGAACTGTGGGAGAGTCATCTCTGAGGCATGAGAGAACTGAGGATGCGAGAGAGAAGGGAAAGGCTAATCTTTTATCACATGCAGCTGAAATAATGAGATCCTAAACACAAGTGAGAACCCTACTGCCCTGACCCAAAGTGACTTTTAAATACAAAGGTATAAAAGATGGGCGTGGGTCTTAGTTTAAATAGGGGAAATTAGAACTTTTTCTTTGAGCTCAAAAAGACTGAAAGAATTAAAACCACGATTAAGGCTGCACAATGATCCAGAGGGTAGGGGTGGGAGAGAGAATAAATACCCTAGTGACCCACATATAAAACAGACAATAAACAAGAGCATGAGAGTCGAGGTTAATGGAAGGCCATCTTGCCTGCGCTGCCATGGAGGACAACAGTGCCACAGGGGCAGTCACAAACACTGCCCCTCCCCACTCCCTGCTCGGGTGTGAGGACAAGGGGTTGGAGTGTAAGCAGTGCCACAGCAGAACAGTGGCCTGGGCTTCAGCAGGGCAGGAATGCCCACTGCTGATGAAGTGGCAGGTAGGGCTGGGGAGCCTGGCCCTGGCTTTGTGGTCACGCAGAAAGAAGGAGGGTAGAGGGGAAATCAGGCCTCTGGGGCAGTGCTTGTAATACTGGGGTGACCATGGGCAGGCAGTAGCATCCACAAGAGCAACAGCCTTCCCAGGCCAAGGTGCAGGCCCTAAGTTCACACCCCACCAACTGGCTGGAAAACCGTGGGGTTTACCGTACATGGTAAAAGCCACACAGCTGGACTCCCGGGCAAGGCCCACTTTAGCCAATTAGAAGAGATACACCTGTGGCCAGGCAGGCAAAATCTTGCCAGTTGGGAAAAGGGGTGAGGATCCTGCAGCCTTGCCCAGGCCTGAGCTCTGGGTATCTGCAGGGAAATGGAGTACTGAGTTAGTGTTAAAGAAAAGCATCCAGCAAGGTAAGAGGGGCTTGGGCAGAACCCTCTGCCTCTGCTACTTCCGCAAGAACTTCTTATTGAGGAGGAAGATGAGAAGGTTGACATTGACTTTGGCCTTGTTGAAGAGTTTCATGACAGCCACACCCTCATACTGGAGCTGCAGGAGGTCCTAGGAGGGAAGGGGCAGGGAGGGAAGTTTAAAGGCTTCTGGCTGTGGTCCAGCCAGACGGTCTACAAAACACTAACGTCCCAGAGACTTACTCGGCCACCAGTGGCACTGGCCCCACTTCACAAATGAGGAAACCAAGGCCAAGAGAGATAGGTACGGTGACTCGACCAAATGTCAACTCAAGCAGAGCCAGGGCTTGAAATCAGTTTTCTCACTCAAAAGGCAAAATAGCAGAGCAAAAAGATTTGGATTTAAAATCACTGCTTCCCTGAACACTGGTCTGTGACTTAGGCTGGCTTCTTAACCTTTTAGCCACACAGTATGTAAAACAGGGATAATACTTCAGAGCTGTGGAGAGGATTAAATGAGGTAACATGTAAAGCCCCCAACATGTGATAGGGCTTCAAATATTAATCCCGCTTCTGACACCACCAGCCCACTCCACTCACCCTGATGCTTGGCAGCGGGTCTGCATCAGGGTGTGGGGGAAGGGAGGCTTGGGCTGTACCTTTCTCTTCAGGAATAGATGACACTGACTGGGTGGGGAACTGACTTGGTGTCATCTGAAGACTAGGGAAGTGAGGCTGGCTGCTCTCTTTAGGCCAGCACCTAACGCCCAGCAGGTGTCTTGGGGGCTCACGGGACTGTCCCCTCACCTGATAGTGAAGCTGAAATCGCTCCATGTCCACACCCAGGAACTTGGCATTTACTTCAAACTTTCCTGCCTCATCTCCAGGGGTGATGTCAAAGATGACGTTTCTGAAGCTGTCAGGAACAAGATTCAAAACAGGAACCCATCACCGCTTTCCAGGGCCACAGCCCCACTCTTGCATCCACCACTCCTCATGCTGAGGAGTGGTGTGTGTCATCCAGAGCCAGGCTTCCCCTCTGTCACTCCCGGGGGACGGGGGCACCCAGCTGTCTTCTCCCAACTTTTCTTCTACTTACCACACCACCTCTTTTATCTGCCCAGTCCTACCCAGCTGTTCTCGCCTCCAGGAAGCTTTCCCAGCACGCCCTGCTTCAGGGTATCTAGTGCTAGACCACGCCCACTGCCCTTAACATCTGTCTGGGGTGCCCTGTCTCCGCCATCATTCTAGCAGCTCCTTTGAGGCCAGGGCCATGCTCCTCCTCCCCTTCCACCTGGTGCCTAGCCCAGAGCTCCACCCACTATGTTAGGGGACAGGAAAGGTCTGACATCCTGCCCTCCAAAGACACATACTGAGAGACGGGAAGATCTTCAATCTCCACCAAGACACCCTTCTCCAGGAGCTGGGCAGCAGTGTAATGAAGAGAAGGCTGCTTCTTCCCCTTCCCAGAACTCCTGATTAAAAGAAGGCCCCAGAAAATTCATCCAAATGTCTTTAGCACCAAAGACACTCTTTCTCTGTGGCTGGCAGGAAGGAAATTAGACCTCGAGGAAGACTTCTCACTGGTGGAAGACAGAGGAGGGGAGCTGCACTTGAGCCCAAGACTTTCTGAGCAAAGTTCAAAGACCAGAGCCAGGAAAGGACTGTGCTGTGCTGGGGGGAAATTCCCTTTCAAAGCTGGGAGACAGCAGGGCAGAGGTCAACATGGGCAGGGGTGCAAGGTCACGGGTGACCTTCTGAGTGGAGGAAGGCAGGACCTACTTGGAGTTGGGGGCCAGGTGGTCGAGGCAGGCCCGGATGTACTGGCTGTAGTAGTCGCCCTGCTCCTCATAGAAGGTGGTCTTAGTGCTCAGGCCCTGGAACGTGGCCTGAAGCTTCACCAGCTCTGCTTTCCGCCGTTGCCGGTGTCTGTGCTGGTTGCGGATGTCCTGGGGTTGGGGGGATCGAGGGAGGGGATGAGTGGCCCTTCCGGCAGGAGAGCCTCAGGGCCTGACATAGGTCCAAGTACAACACTCTGTGAAGATCTTCAGGAAGAGCAGGAAGAGGGAGATTTCAAGGTTGTTTTTCCTAGGAGGACAACCTAAGGATCCCATCCCAAACCCTCAAGACATCTTTGGGGCTTCTCCACCACTGAAAAGCAATTGGTTTCAAGGCTCCTTGTTTTTCAGTAGAAGAGAGTTGTAAGAACATCTCCCTCTCTGGCTAATTTCAAGATCTTCCCTTCAAAAAGGACCCTCAGCCTTCCTCTAACTGGCAGCAATTTTGGGTGGGCGCTCACCAGGGAGAGGCTTGCGCTTGCGCTATGATCTGCCCATGCATGCACGTACGTGTGTCCACACATACACGTGCAGACACATACACACCCAGGCACACAAAGCCCAGGCCCACGTCGTTACCTTGGCCAACTCGTCCACTAGCCCCTGGTAGCCGTCGCTGGCACTGACCAACCCCAGGCCTTCGAGTCGGCGCAGGTTCCGCAGGACACGCCGCTGCTTCTCTGCCAGTGGCAGGAGGGAATGTGCTGTCAGTGAGCGGTGTCGTCGCAGCGGCTCTGGGGTCTGGGCCTCACAGGCCTGGCGTCGGCACATCAGCCGCTTGTGGGCTGCTTCCTGGGGAGTGGAGGGGGCAGGGCAGATGCTGGAGGGGTCTGCCAGGACCTACCATTCTGCCCCCAACCCAGCGCAGGCCCTGGGGCACCAGCGACAAAGGGAGACCTGGGCACTTTTCTGGGCATCACCAGGAAAGTGCCCCAGAGCCCAGCTTCTTGTGGGGAATAGTTGGGGACAGGGTGTAGCTTGTGGAGAACATCAAGGTGTGACATCATAACACATGGTGTAACACAGGGAAGGGCCTCGTGGATTGCCAGAGGGGAGGAATGGCCCAAAAGAGACCCAAACAGAAGCTACAGCATCAAGGATTCTGGATGGACATTGGCTGCAGCTTTCCAACAGTGAAGCTTTGTCGTGGCACCAGGTGTTCAGGGGCATTTCCTCCCTGTTGTATGTTTGGGGACATGTTTCTTACTGGCCATCACCATCTTTTCTCTGGGCAGTGCCTGGCTTAGTCCTCACTCCAGCTGGCCCAACCTGCCCCGGCCCCCACCCATCTACCACCTTCTGCCTCCGGGCCTTCAGGCAGACCTGTCCTTTTCTGACCACAAGCCTTCTGTGCTCCTCCAGGTAGCCTTGCCAGACTGCCTCTTGGCACTCCTCTGACCCCCCAGCACTGATGTAGGGGGCTCTTGTTTCAGTGTGTGCTGTGGGGAGGCAGGTGGAGTCCCATGACTCTGCGGCTCGAGGCTCCCCAAGGCCTGTGGGCCTCCGGGGGTTGAGGGCAGAGACCTTGACCCTCCAGAGCTCTCATTACTGGTAAGCACAGGTGTCTGCTTATGGTCGACTAGGGGTGAGGTTCAGGGGAGGGAATCGGCAGCGCAGGTGGGGTGAGGGGGCGAATGAACCAGACCAAACCGATAGGCTGACCTGGCCACTCACCTGCTCTCTGGAAGCTGAGAGGGACAGGATCTCCTTGAGGGAGTCCCCAGGGTGGAACTGTATGATATCAGCCAGCATCTGCTTCGTGCTGCAGGAGGAGGGCAATGATGGCAGAGAGGTGAGGGGCAGGGGAAGGGTATGGACACGGTGCTGGCCAGGGGTCTGACAGTAAGTGGACACTGTCCCACATCATGACTGCCAGGGACGCTTGGGATGTAAGGAGAGAGAGCAAGGCATTAGCAGGAGGGGAGCCATGTGGTTGCCTAGAATACCCTGCCCACAAATTATCTTCCTTTGAGTTCTTTGGCTGAAGTATGCATGCCCTCCTCCCAACCCAGGTGTCCCTGCTCCTGAGCTCTCAATGCATCTGACACCCACCTCCCTCTCTGATTGTGTGTTCGGCCCTAGCTCAACCCTGCTCTCAGCCCTTTGACGGCAGGACAAAGCACAACACCCCACACTCATTTGTCTACTGAGCGAATGAACAAGTGGGGGGATTGCCTTGTCGGCAGGGAACTTGAGCTGGTAACCTGGCTCCTCTTCTCCCCGGATGATCAGCCCAGCCCTGCTGGAGGCCGTCCCTCAATTTTACAAAACTGAAGAAGAGAAGCCCCATGTCCATCTCCTGATCATCACACAAGAGCAGGGAACTAGAACACGAGCTCCACCACCCACCGGCTGTGAAACTTTGGACAAGTCACATCTTCACCTATGAAGAGGGGAAGCCGCCATCTACCTCATAGCTTGTCCCTAAGCTTAAATGATAACATACAAAAAAGCAGTTGGTAAACAGCACAACAATATGCAAACACCTATTGTTGTCAATATCTTAGCCATTCTTTTGTCTTCAGCTACAACACAGAGCAAAACGCTGGGGTTGCCAGAAGGAAAACAGCTGAGACTGCAGCGAGGGGAGCGTGAGTTAGGCTTCAGAAAGAACTTCCTGAAGAAAGGGGGGCCCAGGAAGAAGGTGGAATTGCCCCCTCCGAGTGGGGCTGCTTTATTGGCCTCAGAGCTGGGGAGCTCAGGGAGCCAGAGGCAGAGCCAGCCTCACCAACCTCAGAAGTAGGCTCCGGGCATCGGTATCGTCAGCATCCACCTCCAGTCCTTCAAACTTGTTGGTGAGTGTCAGGGACACTTCCAGCTTGCTCAGGTCCATGTGCCCATCTGCAGCTATGCTCTCCCCTGAGGCAGGGTGAGGAACGAGAGGGAGACAGGCACACATACACATGCGCACATCGACAGGGTCACGGTTAATGTGCTACTCCACGTGCCACTCTTCCAGGCTTTCCCACACTGCCCCAGGCACCGCCCTGCGCCCTCAACCCTGAGCACCAATGGAAGGGCTGTTACCCATGGAGCATACATACCCTCGCGTTACTGGGGCTGTGCCTCCCCCACACCCTCAGCACTGGGTGCCTGGGAGCAGGGGGCTGTGCCTCCCCCACACCCTCAGCACTGGGTGCCTGGGAGCAGGGGGCTGTGCCTCCCTGAGCCTGGAGCTCCTGGCTCTCTCCAGTCACCATCTTCATTCTGCCCTTCTCCCTGCAAGCCAGCTTCCTCCCATCCCCCAGCCCCGAAATCCCTCCTCATTGGAGAAACCTATTGAGACCCCAAACAGGCCCTTATCCGTGCAACATCTCTCTCGCATGATTGAACTGGCCACTTATATGATGGTACTGGGCCCCTCCGCTGTCTGCTCTTTCCATATGTCTGTCCCTGAGTCCGTATCAGGACCAGAGGGAGAGAGGGAGGGTATGTAACTAGCCCGTGGCACAGACCCAGACTGAGTGGCCACGCTTACGTGCCCTGCCCCCCACCTGTCCATCCCTCCTTGCAGGCCCCCCAGCTGGCCCCCGCTGCCAAGGAGGGTACGCACCAATGAGGTCAGGAATGGTGGGCAGCTCCCCAAGGTCCTCCAGGAGCTCGTGCAGGGGATCATGGTGATCGGGGGCGATGCAGTCCTGGTGCTCCAGCAACAGCTGCAGGAGGGAGGAAGCAAAGGGGATGCAGGGTCTGAGCCAGGCCTTCCTCCTAGGGCCAGCCCACCACCCCATCGTGGGCTTCCAGACCCCCGCCCACCCAGCCAGCACTTCAGGTTGCAGCCCGTTACCCTGTGCGTGTTGACCAGCTCCCCTACAGTGATATACACCATGGGTTTGGCCACAGCCACCATGTCTGAGTACTCGTCCATGGCAAAACGCTCCTCTGGCTCTGGCACCTGGCAGGCTCTGCAGATGAACTTCCTGTCTCCAGAAGGAGGGCACGTGAGAGAGTGGGGAGGGCCAGCACCCCCACACATGTTCTGTCCCCATCATTTCCTCCAGGCTTCTCCAGCAACTGCTCAGTTCTGACTCTCCAGTCTCAGCTCCTGCCCTCTGTCCTAATGCCTGCCTCAAGCCATTCTCCTTTAATAGTCCTCTTTTCTCTCCACTGAGGAGTCCTCCCAACACCCTGTCCTCCGGCCCGATCACTATACCCCTCCCCGCTATGCCTCTCTTCCTCATGGATTCTGGAGGGGAGAAGCGGGACGTGAACGATGAGACAGGGAGGAAAGGGAAGCCAGAATACAAGACCTGAACTTGAGGTGCGTCTCCTCCAGGTAGTTGTTCAGGACCTGCAGGTGCTGGCTCTCCCCAGAGAAGGCCTTGCCAGCCGCAGCGTGCTGCAGGAGCTGAGCCACAGCCCCCAGGGCGTGGCGCTGGGGGGCAGCCAGGGCACCACCCGCTGCCAGGGCCACAATGTCGAAGGCATCAGGGGCCACCACCGCGGGGTTCAGGAAGCGGTAGTACAGGAGGTTTCCTACCACCTGAGGGTAGAGGAGACCCTCCCAGAAGTGCCCGGAGGCCGCCTTGACTGCGCAGCCCCACGTTCCCAGCTCACTGGGCTGGAAGGGATACCTGGGCCACCCCCTTCGCTTTACAGAAAACAGACCCAGAGCAGGGAGGCCACTTGCTCAAGGTCATGCGGCAAACTTGAACAAGAGCTGGGACTAGAACCCAGATCTCCTGACAAGAAGCCAGGGCTGTCCACTCTGTTAGCTCACACCCCAGCTGCCTTCCCATCTGCTACCCAAAGCTCTGCTGGTGAGCCGGGCTTGATTTATAAGGTGGAGCGTATTTTCCTCCTTGGATTTTTATGACATCGGGTTTTCTGTCCTTTTGTCCCAGTCTGGGGGATCATAGGTACCAGCAGGGCAATGGAGGGAGAGGGAGGTGGGGGAAGGGAGACAACACTTACCTTATAGATCTCACTCTCCGTGGCATTGGGGAACTTCTCTGCCAGAGTTGTCTTCAGGACTTTGGCCACATAACGCATCCCATATCTGGGGACCAAGCAATAGGTGCACAGTGGCTCTGCCTGCCTCTCTCTGCCAGAGCTCAGGGCATGAGTGCCTGGCTGTTTCTCCTTCCCCTGGCTCAGCCACACCAGAGTCAAGCTCAAATACTGTCCCTCCACTATCCACAGCCAGCTCCCTGCTGCCCTCCTCCAAATATCTCTGGATCTTGTCCCTTCTTGCCCTGTGTCAGTAGCCAGGACGAGAGCCCTGACATTTACTAAAGCTCTCACACAGCCCCCAACACGGTTAGAGCCTCTTCCTTGAGACCCTCTAGTCACCCCTGCAGAACAGCCCAGATCGCAATGTCCATCTCCTATTCCCCATTACTCCCCTACTGTGGCACCTTTAGTCTATACCTTGAGTACCTGACACTCAGCCAAAACCCTGTCCCAGGACAGCCCAGGGGGCTCTGAGGCAGCCAATCCTGTCAGCTGTCACAGAGCATCTGCGAGGGGCCTGGTCTGGGCTACAGGCAGGGCCCGAGGAGATCAATGAGCTGGGAGAGGGAGCTCCAGTCCTGAATCCACTAGAGACATCATCTTAGGCTATTTCCTTCCCTTTTGTAAATCTGTTCCCTAGTCTGGAAAATAGGAATGATCATACTTGCCCTATCTCACAGGGTTTTTATGAAGATCGAGTGAAATTATGTCTGTAAGAATAGTGTATAATGGTAGAGTGCTATTCACATATGCTTGACTTTATTATTACTGTTATTCCTATTATGGATGTGCCACCCACAAATTTAATTAAATTAATTTAACAGTTATTTCCACTGCTAGGGTACTAGAGACAGAAGTCTACAGCTCATTGTGTACTTACTTTCTTAGGCCTAGAACTATCTTATGTGAACTCCTACTTGTAAACCGTTGATCCAGTTCTCCAGGTTTGGGGAGCAGGGTTATGAACTCTGTGGGTTCCCCCTCTGGCATCCCCACCTTGCCTCGAGCAGCACTGAGCACCAGGAAGGCTGGCTGGCTGAGTAATGGGTCTAGATGATGACCACTTTGTCAATATTTTCACTCATTTGCTTTTCAGAAAACATTTATTGAAATAGCCAAGATATGGAATCAACCTAAATGTCCAACAATGGATGAACAGATTAAAAAAAGTGATATATAAAAAAACCAGAATACTATTAAGTCATAAAAAGAATTAAATCCTATCCTTTGTGACAACATGGATGAACCTAGAGGACATCATGTTAAGTGAAATAGGCCAGGCACAGGAGGACAAATACCACATGATCTAATTCATATGTGGAATCTAAAAACATTGATCTCATAAAAGGAGAGAGTAGATGGTGCTTACCAGAGGGGGACAGGGGAGGGGAGGGAGGATGGGAAGAGGTTAGTCAATGGGCACAAAGTTGCAGTTAAACAGGAGGAATAAGTTCTGGTGTTCCATTGCACAGAAGGGTGACTAGAGTTAATAATAATGTATTGTATATTTCAAAATAGCTAAACGAGGCCAGGTGTGGTGGCTCATGCCTGTAATCCTAGCACTTTGGGAGGCTGACGTAGGAGGCGATCCTCCCAGGAGTCTGAGACCAGCCTGAATGCAAAGTGAGACCTCAGCTCTACAAAAAAAAAGAAAAATTAGCTGGGTATGGTGGTGCACGCCTATAGTCCTAGCTGCTCAGGAGGCTAAGACAGGAGGATTGCTGGAGCCCAGAAGTTTGAGGTTGCAGTGAGCTATCATAATGCCACTGCATTCTAGCCT